TAATGCATTTTTAACTTAAAATTTTTGCATCCGCCGCATCAGACCCACTGAATGATAGCCTTGTTACATGAGATGGCAATGTTCATGTAGTTCAGAGGAGAGATTTCCAAACTCTCTTGTTGATATATTGTCTACGAATCTCAATTGGGAGATGAGAAAAAATCTGAAGGCAATTGTGTACTTCGTAAATATTATTTAATAAAGTTAATATTTAAATGTATCATGTAGGTTAGCAAACAGTACAGCATGAAAAGTTTCATTTTCTCCTAAAATGGAAAAATGTCAAAATTATTTTAATGGCAATTTCGTAACATTGCCATTATAATATTAATGGCTCTTTTTTTCAAATGTCTTAGTAATATTTTTGTAGAATGGTATTATGCTTAGGGATAATCTGTCATATCAGCATTTAATTTCACATTGTACTGTGTAAAAGTGCTTGTTTATTTTTTTGTTTGATTTTTTTTATTCATTTTAATGAGAAAAAATAGTAATGAAACAGTTTCAAAAGAAGTTAGTAGGACAGTTACAATAATTGATACATTGCATATTGTTGTCTTCAGAGTAGTTAGTCAGAGAAGTTGCAGACATGTTATTTTGTCTAGACAATATTAGTACAGACCTTCTCATTGAACTAATAGAAGGTAGCTGTATACTATCCTGTTTTGTATGCACGGATATATTTTCACTACAAAATGGTCCTTCATTTATGTCCCCCTTTTTTGTTGTTTTGTCAGAGATGGGTGTTGTGTTGTTTTTAGAGAAACTGTATTTAGAGAACTCTTCAGAGTACCTTTTCATACTTGATACAGTTCCTATTGTAGGTACTTGAATTCAGCAAAATAGCCCAATATAGTCCAATAGTCCATAATAGTAGTGGGTTGTCAGCAGAACTGGCAACTGTCTGAAGTTGTTGACTTGAGCCTTTTATAGCTCAGCCTTATATAGCTGAGCATATTAATATGGCATTACTTTCTATACCTCGTGGTAATACTTTTCTGCTGGATGGTTAAGACCAAGTTAAAGCAAGACCTACATAAGGAAAAAAGTAGCTTTTGTATGTGCCAAGGTCAGTCAGATGTGCCCAGGATTTACTCTGAGACCATGTATAGCACCTTGTAGATCTTTTGTCAGTATCAGCCATCTGGATGAGTCACTGCGATTGCTTGACCAATTTGCTCTCTGTGAAAGTCTGAGAGGATTTTTTTCTCTCTAGGTGATTCTCTTTAGGCACACTATACATCATCGATCACTTTCCTCTGTAGCCCCATAATCTCCTTGATCAGATAATTTGGGACACCACTGAGTTACAAAATGTCACAGCACAGGTTCTCTTATGTCCTGAGTCTTGCCTGACCTTGAAGGGCTAGGGCCAACATATTGGCTATCCATGTAGCCCCTCTTTTTCTTTGTTTTTTGGTCTGCAAACTTTAGTTGTTAAACATCCAGAAGAGAAGCTTAATGATATTATTATCTTGTAACAGAGGCAGTTGAGCTTAACATCACTGTCTGTCTGAATATCAAATGCCTTAGACATAACATGGAGCTTCTATCTTCCAACAACCATGGATATTCTAAACTTTATTTTATTTTTTTGCTGAACTGGGGATTGAACTCAGGCCCTTGCGCTTGCCAGTGAAGTGCTTATTCCACTGAGCCATCTCCTCAGCCCCGGAGGTTCATGTACTTCAGTCAAATGCTACCTTTTGTTTTTTTGGTGGAACTGGGGATTGAACTCAAGCCCTTGCGCTTATTCTATTGAGCCATCGCCCTGGGCCCCCGATATTGAACTCAAGCCCTTGCACTTATTCTATTGAGCCGTCTCCCTGGCCCTCCAATCTAAACTTTAAATCCCTATAGAATGTGGAAAAAAAATTTACACATTTTTACACGGAAATTTAGAAATTGAACCATACACAACATTGTAGCAGGACAGGGGCTGGGGAGATGGCTCAGTGGAATAAGCGCTTCCCTGGCAAGCGCAAGGGCCTGAGTTCAATCCCCGGTTCCACCAAAAAAACAAAAACAAAACAAAACAAAACAAAACGAAAACCACTGTAGCAGGACAATCCTGTGACATTATTTTCTTGTCTGTTGTTTTCTTCTGTTACCTTTTTCCTTTTCCTTTAAAGAGTATAACAACAATTTATATGACATTGGAAGCAGTACCCATTTAGAAGACCAAAATGTCAGGCATTTCAAGCATGATTTTAGTATTACACACTGCTATACTTAGTTCATTTGCTCAATTCACAGACATCAGCATATATAGTCAGTCAGGGTGAGCACCCTATCCATCAACTGCTGTCTTCAAAATCCTGCTGGAGATTCTGAGGACCACTGCCTTAACCATCTTGTTTATATAAATCTATGGTTTTGCCCCTGCCATATTTCCTCTTTTCTCCTTTCACTCTCTTTGGTGTTTAATCCTTAAGTTCTCACTTTCCATTTAACTGTGTTATACCTTTCAATTTTTATTTCTTCTTTTGAGTTCTTGCATTAGGGAGACAATATGATATTTACACATGTGGGTCTGGTGTATTTCACTTATGTATATGTCTTCAAGTTGCAAGAGTTTGTTTAATGTTTATGGATATAAAACATCTGCTATTCTGACAATAATATGTGAATTTAGGTGAAGGTACATGTGTTTTTTTCAACAGATTTTTTTAATTGTTTGGTAGCTTTGAAAAAAATTTTTTCTTTTATTTTTCTAGAAAATAAAATATTTACAGTTCATTTAATAGTAACTGGAATTAGTACAATTTCCAAACTTAGGTTACACATTCTTTGGACAAATCTGAGTGTTAGTTGCAATTTTTTGGCTCTGATTTATCACTAGCATTTATTTTTATTTATTTATTTTTAAAGTCTTTATTTATGTGTGTGTGTGTGTGTGTGTGTGTGTGGCCAGCTCAGCCCACCAGGGGGCAGGGCTGGCTGGCTTGTGGTGCTGGGGGATTGAACCACTGTCCCTTTGTTTGCTAAGCTTGTTCTCAGTAGGTGCTTTAGACCACTGAGCCATCTCACCAGCCCCTATCACTACCATTTATAAAACCAGACCTAAGGAAAGATCTAGGTCTGGGGACACATACATGGTCTTGATATAGTGAATGTTTATCCTGGCTTTGAAAATTTTCAAATATTTGAAAATTAGTGTTAGACTTAAAATCTACTTACTCAGTGTTGGTTTGCACACGGATGTGGGAACCAATATCAACATATTTTCATACTTCATTCAACTTCTACTTGTTTACCAATTGCTTTATATTGTTTTATTGCATTAATTATAGTAAAATATAAATGTCATGAAATTTACCAGTGTAAGAATTTTTTAGTATAAGTGCTGCCAAAGCACAATTTAACCACTTATATGTGCAGTTTGGTTGTATCACATTATTACACAATCATCACTGCTGTCCATCTCCAGAACATTTTGATCATCATCTCAAATGGAATCTTTATAACCATTAAACAGTAATGCCTTATTCTCTTTTTCTCTATTTCCGTTACCAATTAATTATAATATTTGTGTTCTCCTGTCTCTTTTTGTCCCATCAACTAGAATAGAACTTTGATTCTGACCTCAGGTCAAGATAGTACTTTAAGTTTTTTAATTTTTAAATAATTATAGATTACAGAAATGTTGCAAAAATATCACAAATTTCTTTAGTGCTATTCATGTAGCTTCTCTGTTGTAATATATTACAGTTATTGTTGTACAATGATAAAAACCAGGAAATTAACATTGACAGAATACCATTAACTAAGTTAAGTGTAGCAGGTGGTGCCTGTGGGCCAAAACTTAGTGACTGCCTGTTTTTATAAAAGTTTTTGTGTATATCCATATTCATTCATTTTCTTCTTTTGCATATGCCCTTCAGCAAGGTTGAATGGAAATCAGTAGTTGTAAGAGACCACAAGATCCCTAAAGTCAAAAAACTTTTTCTGTCTTTTGAAGTAAGCCATAGAAGTTATTGAAAGCTCTTAGGGGCTGGAGAGATAGCTCAGTGAACTAAGTGCCTGCTTAGGCAAGTGCAGGGACCGGGGTTCGATCCCTGGCACCATATACCTCTTTGGCCCTGCTCCTGGGCACACTGAGCCAGCCACTAAGTCCAGGCATGGTGGCGCATGCCTGTAATCGCAGCACTGGCAAGGTTTTAAAAGGAGGATCACTGTAAGTGAGAGTTGCGTAGTGAGGCCCTGTACCAAATAAATAAATGAAGAAATAAAAAAGATCTTTGTTTTCCCATATTGTTTATTTTCTGCTCCAGGAGCTAAATCAGGATCCCCTACTGCATTCATTTATTATATTTCTTTATTCTAATTTATGACAGTTCCTCTATTTTTTTCTTGAGGCTTTTGAAGAATATGAGCCTATTATTTTCCCAACTGTTCCTTGATATTTGTCTGATGTTTTCTAACCATTAAATTGATATTATTACACATTTTTAAAAGAATGCCATAGAAATCATGTGTCATTTTGAATACATCATATTAAGTGCATATGGCATCAGTGTGCTTTTCTTTGGTAGTATTAACCTTGATTAGTTGGCTATTTTCATTTTTTTCAGGTTATTTCCACTATAAATATAAGCTAAGTACAGTGGTGTACACTTGTAATCTTAATACTCTGGGAGACTGAGGTAGGATAATTGTAACTTTGAGCCCATTTTATGAGACCTTGTCTCAAAAAGTGAAAAAGGGCTGGGGCCATTTTCTTATTTTTAGGTAATGAATATTTTGTGGGCATATACTTTTAAATTTTGTAAATATCTTCTTTATCATCCTACTTGAACCCACTAATTTTAGCAGCCATTTTGCCTATAGAGGTTGTTACTTTGGTGTTTGCCTAATGGTACTTTTTCATGTCTTACATTATTTAACATGTAGTAAATGTCAGAAAGAATGGTTTATTCCTATTTAGTTGGTAATTTTGTGTGTGTGTGTGTGTGTATTTATTTTTTGGATTTACTGACACTTGTTTCTAATATAATTGACATATCATAATTGTACATACTTATGAGGTACAGTGTGATGTTTTAATACAGGTACATTTATCATTCTTTTGTGGAGAGAACATTTAAAAATCCTCTCTTCTAGCTGTTTTGAAATACATGGTATATAATATATTTAAGCAAATTTCCTTTCTGCGAAGTGCTACCAAGCTTAATCCTTCAATCTACTGATTTTTTTTTTTGGTGGAACTGGGTATTGAACTCAGACCCTTGCGCTTGCCAGGGAAGTGCTTATTCCACTGAGCCATCTCCCCAGCCCCTCTACTGATGATTTTATACACATTAACCAAACTCTATCTCCCCTACCTCTGCCAATCACTATTCTACTCCCGAATTCCATGAGATCAGCTTTTTCCTTTATTGTTTACATTGTTCCAGCATTGTCTACTGAGTGTTCCTTCAAGGTGGAGTGTGTGTCATTTCATTATGTGCCCATCGTTATTTGACCACCACATTTTTTGGGGTAGGGGTGTACTGTAGAGGTGTTTCAGGCTCATATCTTTTCTTCCTTTGCTTTTTTCTGGCCAGAAAAATGCCTCATCGCTGGCAATTATGATTATAGAAATTATAGAGAAACAAAATTGAAGTTTTGTATCAATAATCTGGTCATAGCAGGCAGAATCTCTTTTCCTAGTGATATATACCTGAACAGCTTAGAATTTTATTCTCAGTACCTCCTTACTTTGTTAAATTCAACCTGTCTTCCAGTTGAAATGAGACAAAGTAAGAAGAATAGCTGTGACACTAACAGATGTCTTTTCCTCCCAGCCCCCACTCCAGTTATAGATGGAGTTTGTGATTTTGTTCACAAATTTTCCTGCAGTTGGTTTCTCTTTTAGAGTCCTAATGTTGTTTCTTTATATATCATTTCTATAGTTTTTAATTATCATTGTATGGAAGTCTACAATCACCTTTCCCCCTGTTGTTAGCCAGCCTACATTGCTTGTGTCAAATAGCTAGATTTATTTTATTAATTTACCTATGACAATCATTTACATATTTTATTGACTGGTAATTTTTCGCAATCACAGCTGAATACTTGCATCTTATTTATTTATTTTTATTTATATTTTAATAATTTTGTTGAGAAAGAAGTAGCAATGAGATAGTTTCAAAACTAGTAGTACAGTTACAATAATTAATACACTGCATATTGTTGTCTTTGTAGTAGTTATTCCTAGTACAAGATACAGATGATGTATTTTGTCTGAGCACTATTAGTTCAAAACCTTCTTCTCATTGAAATGAGAAAGTAGTTTTATATTTATGCTATTTTGTATATACAGATGTATATATATTTTTTCTACTACAAAATGGTTCATTTATATCCCCTTTTTTGTTTACTTTTGTCAGAGATGGGTATTCCATTGCCATTCATATATTGTAGGTGCATGAATTCAGCAGAGTAATTCAATATAGTCCAATAGTCTATAATAGTAGTGGGTTAGCCACAAGACTGGCAGTGTCAGAAGTTGTTGACTTGAGCCTTTTACAGCTCAGTCTATTCATATGGCTTTACTTTTTATACCTTGTTTTTATACTTTTCTGCTGGATGATTAAGACCAAGATAAAGCAAGGCCTATATAAGAAAACATAGAACTTGTATCTGACAAGGTCAGTCAGAACCTCACAGGAGTTACCCTGAAACCTTGTTCTGCAGTTTGTAGATCCTTTGTCAGTGTCAGCCATGTGGATGAGTCATGGTTATTGCTTGACCAATCTGCTGTCTGTGAAAGCCTGAGAGAATGTTTTCTCTCCATGTGACTCTCCTTATGCAGAACTATGGTTTTATAATTGCACTTTGAATGCATTTGAATTGCATTTATAAATACAGGTTGAGTAACCTTATCTAAAATCCTTGAGATGAGAAAGTTTTGGGGGTTGTGAAAGTTTTTTGGATTTTGGAAAGTTTGCACATACATATGGGATAACTTCCGTGTGGAACTCATGTCTAAATAAGAAACGTATTTCCTGTATATATTTTATGCATGTAGTCTGTGGCTTTTACTTTATTGTTTACATTGTTCTAGTATTTTATACAATATTCTTGATGTGTCTGAATTTTTGCTATATCTTATCACATGTGGTCAGATATGAAATTTTCTAATTTTGGAATCATCTTGATTCTGAAAGCTTTGAATTTTGCAGAGTTTCATTTTTTTGGGGTTGGAATGTTTCACCTTTTCCACTTATATTGTTCACTAGTGTGTTCTGTATCACACTGCTGGTGAACCTTTCAGGACTTTTAATGATGTAAACAGCCTGCTGCGGCACATGTACCATTGGTTGGCAACCACTGATGTATGATGCAGTTATGTATATTCCTGATGTTATCACAGCTAAAAAATGTGAAGTTAATTCGTATGTTAAGTGAATTTCATTTCTTTTGTAAAATGTTTAATAATTTAATGTATTTTTAAATTCAAGTGAGCAGCGAAGATTCAGAAGAGTCTGAGTTTCAGGAATCAGCAGTTAGTGAAGAAGTTAGTGATTCCGAAGATGAACAGCGACCCCGAACAAGGTAAGGCACTGTTTATCAAAAATTTTAAGAATTAATCTGAATGATTGTGCCTTCAAATTATTTGAACACTGGCTATTATAACCAATAATGTTAATAATTATAATGTATAATATTTAATTTTGTAACTAGTTTTACAACTTTTATTTTAAAAAGCACAAACACATTTCATATATAGTTAATTGTGTTCTAACCTGGCTGGTTTTTCTCTGTGCAAAACCAGTATTTACTGAAAGTTTTAGTTGTTACATGCAGAAGTTGTAGTGTAGATGAGACTTTGTACGTAGACTCCTTCAATCTAATATCTGATTTTAATATTTTCTATCTGTATGAATATTCTATGTATCAGTTTGTTTATTGTAAAATAGCATCTCAGTTATTTTTCCCTAGTTGCTGGGACAAATATCCAAAACCCCAAATGAAGGAAGGAACGGTTTATTTATCCCACAGTTACTGGAGAATTCAGTCCATACTCAGCTGGCTCCAAGGCAAATGGCACCTAATAGAGGGCATCAGTTCATGGTGGCAGCAGAGAGTAAGTCTGTCTGCCTTATGTTGCATTCAGGCTGTCTGCCCCAGGTGGGGTGTAGCACTCACACCCATAATCCCAGTAGCACCAACACCCATAATCCCAGCCCTAGATTATGAACTAATCAAAGTATAGAAATCACCCCATGACTGAATGAGGCTTTGGAGTGGCAACTAGACACAAACCATAGTAAATAGATTGTAATATTCTTATGTTAATTGATTTTTGTGGGCATTAATAACATGATACAAGTAAAAGGCTTATAATTACCAAAGATGCAATATGTCAGTTAGTATTTATTGATCACCGAATTAGAGAAATCAAGATACGTGTTTTCACAACGTGTACATCTACTGATATGCATTACTAATTTTATAAAAGTTTTTGCTTTTTTTTGATTAGACATACTTTATTGAGAAAAAGAATGGTTAGGAGAGAATTGAGTGATTTATGACATAGATTCAAATTAATAACTAGAGATGAGAAATTTATATAATATTGTATATAGTTTTCAGCTTAAATTTGGCAAAAGGCAGTCAAATTCCAAGTATCATTGTAATGGACCACACGAAACACCATGTTAGAGAAATATGTCTCCAAATTTACACTTCACATTCTGGTCAGTTGCATGGAGCTCTTTAAGGACACGTGTCATCATCGGTCCTGCAGTTGATGTGAGGAAAGCGATCAAATTACAAAAGCTTGCTTGGAGAAAAAACCCAAAGAAATTTTTTCTTTACATATGGAGTTTTGCTTTCAGTGTTAAAATTAAGACCAGGACAATATACAAAAATAGTTTTGAGTGCACATATGTTGCCCAAAATTTCAAAAGGACAGTATACACAGAAAAACCTAGGTGCAGTACAGCACACAAATTGGGTTGCAGACTAGACAGAAATGTGGCCACTGTTAACAGTCATAATTATTCAACCAAAATGTACCAAAAAATATGGATTAAATTTGGCCCAATTTAATATCTTGTCATTTATTATGAATAAATATTTGTTAGGCAAAGACTCAACATTCAACTCTTCTAAACAACATCTTTAATTTTTATCACAAATCTTTAGTCTCAGGCATGTCCTAAATGAGGACAGCACCATAATAGTATCACAATGTCTACAATATAAGCAAAACTGGACCCTACTTACCTATATCCTGATACATTTATATACTTTTTCTTTTTTAAGACTTAGCCTCACTATATAGTTCAGGCCAGTCTTGTATACACTGTGTAGCCCAGGCTGGCCTTGAACTTGTGGCAGTCCTCCTGTCTCAGCCTCCTGAGTAAAAAGATTACGGGCATGCACCACCATACCTGGTAACAATTTGGCTATAAACTTTTTTTTTTTTTACCAAGAAATGTTTTATTTTTCTTGCAGTAGCTTTTTTAATTGCACAAAATCATGTTTTTGCCATTTAAACATCACACAATCCTATTCTGAAAGACAAATGTTCATTAAAAACAAAGCAAAAATGAAAACTCACAACCTTAATCACCTAGATTTGTCATTTAAAGGTTTAAAGGAAAAAGGGGCTTTCTTACAAGCTTTTTCACAAGTGTCACATTTTCTCCTTAAAGGGAAAGATTTCAAAACAAAGGTGAAATAGCTTAAACAGAAATACTCATAAAAAGAAACTTTACAGAATTCTCAACAATATTAAGACAACATTGACTAACCAGTTTCATTACAGTGCCTTCCCCCACCCCCACCCTCAGTGTGTCCACCAAGACTAAGACAGGCTGTGTTCAGACAAATGAGTTCAAAATCCCAGTGAAATCAACAAGTGTTCCGCACCCCCGTGGACATCTTCCCTGCCCCCAACAGTGTGGCCACCCTACACTGTTAAACTGTAAATTGTGACTTTGGAAAACCCACCCCATGAGAGGGAGAAAATGCTGACATCTCCTGGGGTAACTCCTCCTTGTTCTCAGGCAACATTCTAAGCCACTGGTCCCCTATCCAAGGAGAAATGTAAGGGCCTCAAGGATGTCCCAGTTCCACAGCTGAGGGTCAGTTCATGAGGTCAGGCCCAGTTCTCCCCCAGCTGGCAAACCTTGGCCTGGGCAGCACTAAACAGTGTGATGCTGGCTGGGACAGACACTCATTCTCTTATCAAGAAGTGAGTCTAAGAAATGCTCATCATTGGTCAGGCTGGGATTGAGCCAAAGGTAGGACAGAAATACTGTCTCGATGGGAGGAAAAGTAGAAGAGTGAAGAGAGATGGGGTATGCAGAAGACCTGCACAGGGCAGGCTGGGCCAGGTTGGCCAGCTCAGTGGGTCTCCAGAGCCAGGTGAAGATGGTGGCATAACGGAAACAGGAACGAGTGGCTCTCATTCTCCACTGCTCAGGGTCCTGAGGGCACTCTTCCCAAGGGCTGGAATGCAAATCCAAGCACTAAAACAGCCTCGTGAGGAGCAAGCTCCCACTGCAGGGAAGCCAGGACCTTCGACCCAGCTGAGGCTTGCAGTGCCCATGGGGGTTGAGCAGCAGCTGGGAAGCTAGGCAGCTGTGCTCCTCTGCAGCCCGGCTGCTTGCTGCAGAGCCAAGATTGCCTGTGTGAGATGGTGGCAGTCTCTTCTCAGTTTACAAAAGCTTCTACAAGAGGTGGGTGCACATCGGTGGCTTAGACTTGAAAATCCTCCTCAGCTGAGGCTGGAGGGCCCATAGGAACCGCTGCTGGGAGTCAATGCTGGTTCATTCTGGCCCTGACCCTCTCCCTGCAGGGGTCCAGGTAGGGACTAGGACACAATGTCAACCTCTATTGATTTTAGTTCCTCAACTGGAAGGGTTTTGATAAGACAAGCTTGGAAGAAAAAAAGCCAGGCAGCAGCAGTTTTCTGGGCAGCTCCTATCCTGGGGTGAGAGCGCGCACATGTACGTGTACGTGTGTGTGTGTGTGTGTGTGTGTGTGTGTGTGTACACGTAAGTATGGCCACCTAGTTGGGGCCAGTGCCCAGGCTCAAGAGTTTCCTTCCTCACAAGCCAACCCTAGTGACATCCCTCCCTCCCAGGGCATCAGAGAGAAAGGTACTGCTGTGTGCTGTGCTGATGGCAAGTCTCAAGTCTGTATAAAAGGAAATGGAGACAGGTGGACTGGTCCAGAGTTAAATCCCAGGACCCCAACCCCATTTTGGGAAGAGGGGCCTAAGGGAAGATCAGAGGGGTGGGGCAGCGCATCTACAGCTTAGTGTATGTAGGCTCGGTACACGGCAGACATATCATTGTCGGACTGGTCCAGTGCCTTGGCTCTTTTGTATACCTCATTGGCTGCAGCTGCCATAGGTGTTGGGTGGTTGACAGCATCGCCCAGGGCAATGGCCAGGCGAAGGTCCTTCTGAATGTACTTCAGGTAGAAATCAGGCTTAAAGTTCCCCTGTAGAGTATTTTGGCACTTCTGGTCCAGGAAGATGCTGGCCAACTGTCCCTGATTGAGTATGTCTAAGAGTGTCTGCTGTGACTGGCCTGTAACCTGGGCCAGGGTCAGCCCCTCTGCAATGGTGGCCATGAAGCTCCCTTGGACCATGTTTACAATCAGCATCATCTTGGCTGCATTTCCAACTTCACCTAGAAAGAAGGAGGTCTTCCCCACAGCCTGGAAGCAGCTGCTACAGTCCTCATATAGGCCCCTGTCTCCGGCTGCTAAGTCACCAACATCCCATCATTAGACAGCTGCTGATTCCCTGAGACGGGCCTCCAGAAAGTGCCCCCCCCCGACACAATCACCTGGGCCAGCTCAGTGACTGTGTCCGCATCCACCGTTGACATATCCACATAGCACTTTCCAGGACGGATCCCCTGCAGCACACCACTGGGGCCAAGCACCAGGTCCTTGGCTGCTTTTGGATCTGACACACAGGCAAAAGTGATGTCACAAGTTGAAACAACTTCAGCGGGGGTTCTTCCTAGGCCGGCCCCCTCTTTCTCTGCAGTCCGGTTCCAAACAGTCACCGTGTGACCCATTTTTAGCAAGTTGGAGACGATGCCACTTCCCATGAGTCCGAGGCCCACAAATCCTATCTTTTTGTCTGTGGGTGTGATGCTGCCATTCACGGCTGTGCTGTCTGCTGCCTGGATGGAGGTGGAACCAGTTTCCTCTTTACATATTTTCAATTTCTTTGTGATTGCCTGGTAACAAACAGCTGGCTTCTCTGTTTGGCTCAGCAAGAAATGATGGAAGTGAGGATCTGCATCTTTGACAGGCTCACTCACAGTTGGCTGCCATTTAAACGTGGCCATAGGTCCGGCCATCATCCCCTTCACGGTACTAGACTCGGGGATAGTGAGGTCCTTCTCATCCTTTGGGGGCCGACCCTGCTTCCGGGGACTTTGCTCTTGGGCTCTTTTCAGAGGGGATTTGGAGCCTCTCTGCAGAGCCTGAAGACACCCTCTTCTTTCCTTCTCCCATGTTCTTCTTCACCTTCCCTTCAGACAGGCTAAGTTTGCGCTTCTCATCACCTGAGTTTGGCCTACTTCTCTCCTCACTGGAATTACGCCGACTCTTGTCATCAGCAGAAGTGTGGGATGATGTCTGGTCTTTTCCTTTGGCTCTCCTGAGGAACTCTTCCACAGCATCCACAGCTTGCTGGAATCGTTTTCCCTTATTGATTTTTATCATTTCCTCTTTATGAGCATGATATGGCTTTAGCTGCTCTACTTTGATCCAGGCATGATCTTCTGTTCCAAAAAATTTCACAAAGAAGCATTTCTTTCCTCGTGGTTTCTTCAAGTCCTTGGGTGGATTCACAATCTTTCCTGGCCAAGGAGGATACCTGCCGAGTTTCCCCCACACCAAGTCGCCGAGCCGCAGACTCACAGCCGCCATCTTACCACCCAACCACCGGCTATAAACTTTTGTATAGTCAGAGATGCCTACATGACTTTTTAACAATGAAACTAAACAATTCTAATAAAATTTTCACTCTTTGTTATTTTATAAAGTTTTCAAAAAATAAGTGTGAGACACCAACTAAATCTGTTTTTAAGGTTTTTAAATGTAGTTTCTTTCATTTATAGTGGTTTTTTCTTTTTATTTATTTATTTATTTATTTTGTGTGTGTGTGTGTGTGTGTGTGTGTGTGTGTGTGTGTGTGACCAGCTCAGCCCACCAGGGGGCGCGGCTGGCTGGCATGTGGTGCTGGGGGATCGAACCGTGGTCCCTGTGTTTTCCCAAGCTTGTTCCAAGTAGGTGCTTTAGACCACTGAGCCATCTCGCCAGCCCAATATAGTGGTTTTTTCTTGAGACATGATTTTGCTAAGGTTTTTGCTTTTTTGTGTATTTTATTATTATGTTTTAAATTTTTAAAATGGGCCAGGGAGATAGCTCAGTAGAATAAATGCTTGCCTGGCAAGTGCAGGGTCCTAAATTCAACCCCCAGTACCGCCAAAAACAAACAACCCCCCCAAAAACAAAACCCAATAAATTTTTAAAATGTATTTGGTTGTTACAGGGTCTCATTACACAGTGCAGACTCATAGTGATCCTCGTGTTTTTTAGCCGTTCCAGCGCTGTGATTACAGGCATATGCCACTATGCCTGGACTCTGTGGCAGGCTCAGCCCACCTTGGGGGTGGGGTGGCATGGCATGCAGTGCCAGGGATTGAACCGTGGCCCCTGTGCTTGTCTAAGCAGGTGCTTTAGTCTGCTGAGCTATCTCAGTGGCCGCTATATATATATATATATATATATATATATATTTTATAGTTCTAACCATTCTAAGATTTTTCTTCCCAGAATATCGTGACTCTTGTGTAGTTTGGAAAGTGAACATGTTGTTTGTACTTGTGTGAGCTTGTGTGTATATGTCTACTCAGATGTCTATCTGTACTAGTACGCTTTAAAATATTTTGAGCTTTTGTTTGTTTGACCTATTTGTGAGAGTGCAGTATTTAAATTTTCCACTGTGAATCTATTGTTGTAGGGGTTTTTTGGCTGGGGGGAATTGAATTCAGGACCTTGTGCTTGCCAGGCATGTGCTGTGCCACTGAGCTATATATCCATGTCCCCTGTATCTGTTCTCTTGGTCTAATATTTGATTTATGAGATTGAGTACACCAACATTTGGTACACATATATTTAAAATTATCTCCTCCTGTTGTATTACTCTCTCTCTTTTTTTTGTATTACTCTCTTTTCCAGTGTGTAGTATAGATTTCTTTGTTTCTTCTGATCAGTTTTAACTTGGAGTACAGTTTGAGTGAAATTAGGATTGACACTCCCGCATTTTTTCTGTTCTGGTTACATGGAATATTATTTTCTATTATTTCTTTTTATGGTTATGTTTATTTATTTTAAATGGATAAGGTGTGTTTCTTGCAGGCAGCATATATTTAGGTTTTGGTTTTTGCTCCAATATGCCAGTCGGTGTCATTCCTGTTGTTGTGTTAATTTGGACTCTGGTGATGTTTTCCTTGCAGCATCTGTTTTAGAGTTCACACAAGTATTTTCTGTAATGCTGGTTTTGATGGTTATGAATTTCTTATTCTTTTTGTTTAGAAACTTTATTTTACCTTCAGCTTTGAAAACTGATTTTACAGGTCATAATAATCTTTGCTGGGACTTGGTTTTTCAGGGGGTGGTGGTTGAAAAACTTTATTCTAAGCTCTCTTGTCTGTTAAGGTTTTGTTGAGAAATCCGTCACTATTGGGATAGGCTTGCCTTTATGAGTGATATTTTTCTCTAATGTCTTTTTTTAAAAAACTTGGTTGCTTTATTTATTTATTTATTTATTTATTTATTGTGGAACTGGGGATTGAACTCAGGCCCTTGCACTTGCCATGGAAGCACTTATTCCACTGAACCCTCTCCCTGGCCCTTGGTTGCTTTATTTTATACTTAGAAAATTCATAAAAAGCTTTGCAATATCAGCCTATTGATAAAGGCTTCATGAAAAGACAGTGAAAATTTTATTGTATCAGCTCGATGTATGCCAAAACAATGGACAATTTACAGACAAATCTCTTCAATCAAGAACATTTTGCAAAATACATACTCTGTTACACATCTGAATTTATTTAAAGTCAGACTTTAAAATGTGTTTAAAAAAATTAACACTGACAATCCTAAAATAATGCCGAAAGCAAGCTATAAACAACTTTGTATATTGAATATAAGTTTAGGGAATAGAAGAAGAAACTGGAATCTATGTCTAAATATGTGTTAGCAAGACTTTAATTTTAACAAAGCAAACAATTCTTTTGCCTCTGATAGTTTCCCAGGTTTTATTTTCAAATTTGTGGCATCTGGGCTAAAGGGACTGAATTGTGGGAGTAGAATATTTATAGAAAAACACCACTGGGTATACCTTCTCAGTTTTTCTAAAGACTGCTACTATAGTTTTCCTTATAGACTACTTCTTCCTTATAAAAGTAAGGCTATTGGAAATAATATGTGGGGCTTCATTTGGCTTATATTTTATAAAAAGTAGGTATAATATCTCAGTGACAAAAATATAAATTCAAGGCAGTCTCACTTAGAAAATGTTGAAAAATTAAATGTTGTCCGAAATTAATTTCTAAATTTGTGAAATAGCATAATACGTTTTGAAGCATAGGGTCTATTAAAACTATAATGCTATTTCCACTTTTATTTTGTTCATTCTATATCTTTTTGTGATAGTGTTTCATTTTGGAGTTCAGCCTGGCCTTATACTCACTTTGTAACCCAGGCTGGTCTCAAACTCACAGCAGTCCTCCTGTCCCAGCCTCCCCGAGTACTGGGATTATAGCTATGTGCTGCCAAGCCTGGCCTTTCCACTTTTAATAACAGTCCTACTGGAGTGGCTTTTTAGATAATATCATCAGGCCACTAAAAGTAATATCAAAAGAGTGGGAATGGAAAGATGAGAAGATAACACATTGAGTACTAGTGACAAACATGATTTGATAACCAGTGCCACAAAATTATATATTTTGCTTCTGTGCCAGTGGGGTGCTAGAAGTGACTAGGAAATGAATGAACTATCCCAATGGTCCTAATTAAGATTCTTAACTAACTCGTCACTTTATGGCTTACTCATAAAGGACTACTTCGTAGATCACATGGTAAGGGGTGTTCTACTTAGTTTGCTCCTTACTTTTCTGTGTTTTTTCAAGAACATTTATGAAGGACTAAATACCTCTCAAAGTCACCAGGACAGAGAACTTACAAGATGACAAAGTATTCCCCAAAAGAAATCTGAGAATATTTTCATTCTTTTTTTTTTTTCAGTTTCATTTTTTCCCTGTAATTTTATTGAGAAACAAATAGCAATGAGACAGTTTCAAATCAAATTGGTAGGACAGTTTCAATAATTAACACATTGCATACATTCTTCCTAGTGCTTAATTGCTGTACAAGATGCAGACATGATATCCTATTTACAAACACCATTAGTACAAATCCCTCTATTCATTAAGAATATATAACTATATATCTATCATATATATATATATATAACTATATATGTAACTATATATCTATATATAACTATATATCTATCTTAATCACTTTGAATACACAGATACAAAATGGACATTCATCTGTATCCCCTTTTTTGTTAAGTTCCGTTATTTGAATATTATAAGTGTGTAAACTCAGCAAAATATTCTAAAAGAGTCCAGTACCCCTTAATAGTATTGGGTCTTCCGTTTCACTGGCAATGTCAGAAATTGTTGACCTGAGTCCCCTACAGCTCAACATAACACCATGGCTTTACTTCTTATATTTCGTTTTTATACTTTTCTGCTTGATGGTTAAGACCAAGGAAAAGCAGGACCTATGCAACAAGAGTTGTAGCTTTTGGGTCTGATAAGGTCAGTGAAATCCCCTCAGGATTTATCCTGAGATCTGTACCTCAGATTGTAGAACCTTTGTCAAGGCAATGATCCTGAGAATCTCCAGAAGATTTTTGAATCTAGCAGTTAATTGGAAAGATTCTCACCCTGACTAACTATATATACTGATAACTGTGAAATAAGCAACTGCACTGAAGATGGTAATCTGTAATAGTAGTTTCATGCTTGGAGTGCCTGTCATTCTGGTTTTCTGAATATGGGCTGCTTGTCATGACATGCCAGTTGCTGCTGTGCTGTCTCTCGGGTAGATGATTGTTCAAAAAGAAAGGGATGGCTTTTATGTTGTTTTCGGTTCTCGCTGGTACCTGTGTCTCTCTGGCGGTACCGGTCCGTTCCCTCGGAGCGCTTTGTCGCCATGCCTCGGAAAATTGAGTAAATCAAGGATTTTCTGTTCACAGCAAGGCGGAAGGATGCCAAGTCTGTCAAGATAAAGAAGAACAAAGATAATGTGAAGTTTAAAGTTTGAAGCAGCAGATACTTTTATACCTTGGTCATCACAGACAAAGAAAAGGCAGAGAAACTGAAGCAGTTGTTGGCCCCCGGGCCACACTGATATAAAGTATATTAAAAAACTTCAAAACTCAAAAAAAAAAAGGGGATGGTGAATGAAGGCAAGAGACAGGAAAAGGAATGATGTGGGACTATCCTGCCTCAAGGTTGTATATGGTTAGATTTTTGGACTTATGTGTAAACATAAGTATATAATTCTTTATGCCTATTTTAAAAAATATGTTCTAATTTTAAAATTTTTTTTCATCATATTCTGTAGGGACTTAAAGTTCAACATATCAGTACTTGATGAAAAATACCTGTTCCATGTTATGCCTAAGATGTTTGATATTCAGACAGATAGTAAGGTTAAGCTTGACAGCCTAAGTTGTATGGCAATAACAATAAGCTTGTCTTCTGGATGGTTAACAACCTAAGTTTGCAGACCAAAATTAGAGAAAAAGGAGAGCCGCAAGGAAAGCCAACATTTTGGCCCTAGCTTTCCAAGGTCAA